CAGCAATAGAAGCCGGCCGCCGCGCGAACGTCCACAGGGCGTCGCAACCCTCCTGCTCAGCACCTCATGCGCGCCTGCTGATTCGCAGAACAGCATTTGAACTGGATTCACGGCAACTTGTTTGCTGCGTGCGGTGGGCTCACCATGGACGGGACGCTTCGAAGGACGGATGCGAAGGCGTTCTTCTGTAAGGACGCCGTCGTTTGAGGGCATCGCCCGAACGCAAGCGAATTCGGCAAGATCTGATGCACCCATGCGATTGTCGGCTTCAGAATTAACGCCGTGGAAGGAGGTGCAGATGACCCGTTAGATGTCGCCCACAGCCTTTCTGTCGTATGTGGTGCTGGTACGGCGTTCCCATGTGCCCCGCGTCCTCTTGATCCAGCCATTCTGCTGTTTCTCTTCCAGCGCAGGCTTGAGATCTCAGCCCGCGATGCCCGTCACCTTGGTGCAGCTGTCACCATACTTTACCAGCGAATTCATTCTTCTGGCTGTGTTGTCTGCAGCCAATGAGCGCACGTTCCTGCACTGGCTGCACGTCTCAGTTACGATAGGCAGCATCGCCGCGGCAATACTTGGTGAGTATAGTGTGGTCGCCTCTGGATTCGATCTGGATGTGGCACACAGTTCAGCATTCAACGTATGATTCTTGGCCAGGCAGTATCTCCCGAAACTGATGCCTTCACAAACTGGGCACCAGGGGTATCAAAAACCGATGTGATGATCTTTTGTGCCTATCTGGGCCTCCATTCTCTTCGACGAGTACTGCCGTGACCAATGGTACGAAAGGAACTGCCAGCGCTGCCATCTTTGTTTCAGCTGTCCTTGCCATCCGAACACATCCAGCAATGGTGTTATTGCAGAACGGTCTCCTCTTTTCCGCCAAATTTTGTTGGCGAATCATAATCCAATGGCAATAAGCCCTGCCACAATGAAGCACGTTTAACACCCTGCATCTTGATGCCTAACTGACTTGCTTCCTGTTTTGGCCTGATGTGTGGGGAAATGGTGATTTGCCATATTTTTCACGAGATGTCGTTTAGCACCTGATTCCGACAAAGAAGGCACAGACGCCATCCAGTTCACTCTGTTTGTTCATGCTGACAGGTTTGACATCCCACAGCCACAAGCACTGGAACATAGAATAGAACTCTGTGCGGATTATTGCCCTCATCATGCTGCTTGTGGCCGTAGTGCTCGTGGCACAGACCGCCATCAACTTCGTTCGAAGAATACGCTCACTGGAGTGAGTTCTGGAGTTCACTGCAGTTTCCATTTTTGCAGTCATAAATCTCAACATTTCTGAGCAATTTTCTCAAGGAGTACTTGTCATGCCTTTTCTTGGTTGATCAACTATGCAACAAGCCTTGCTGCTTTGTATCTCTCTCTGTAGAGTTGTATCTTCAAAGCCAAAGCCACCCTGCCCTCCCCACCCCCCCAACCCCCACCCACTTCTCCCCTTCCTAAGCTTTGAGGGACGTATGTTGCTTGCGATTCCATGTATCTACATCGCTGGATGCCCATGGAACCTCCACTTTATGCTTATCTGCTTTGATAACTTCAGCATGAAACATTCAGCGTACTTTGTTAATCTGTCTAGACTAATGGCATCAAATTTACAAAGCAGGGTCAAAATCGAAAAGATTGGGTACCCAGACCCTTAACTACCAATTGTCAAGAAGAAAAAGTGAGACACAACCCCTTTGAGGCGAAAGGTGAATTTTGTTCATTTTGGAGCCCAAATATCATGGTAAAAGACCCTGGATACAAAGTACTTCTAAATACTTAATACTTAATCAATTGGCCCGAAATCTTGGGAGTATATTCCAACCTCACAAACACAACTTTGGGTGAAATTTCATTGAAAATTGATGCCATTGTGATGGGAAAGCAAAGCCCCAAAGTCATAGGCGACAATTAATCCGGGACGGAGGAGTACATGGCAAGAAAAGCATTGGCCCCAGAGATGGATCTCGTGTACCATTTGCTTGTTGAAAGGTGCCAACTGCAGGGTCAGCAAAAGACCCCAATTTGCCTTTGGAAAGTTATACAGACAGTTGTTCATTGTCTCAGCAGTTGGGTAGCAATTCTTCCAAGAAGAGGAGGGAGAATGGGCTCAAGGCATTGACCGCATCCTGTTGCTGCTTCTTCTGTCTGTGAAAATGGTCAAGTAATGTGGTTGAGCACATACGCCGACTGTTGGTCTGTGCATGGGGGGGCAAAACTGGACAGCATTGGATCATAAACTGGGTGATGCAGTACCTCACCAATGTTCAGAGGTTGTTGTGTTTGTTTGCTGTGGCAAGGCCGGCTGCCGCTTGGTGGGATCCTCTTCTGTCGGACTTGCACATTGGCAAAGATGTTGCTAGAATTTTTGGATCCTAATTGTCTGTCCCCATGTGCTCAAAAGCAAAGCCTAAGGCTGTCATCATTGCCTTTGCTTCAAGATTTAGATCGAATATCAAGCATTTCACTTAATCCAAATATGAACTCAATTCGTGAGGGAGAGGCGGGGTGGGTGCAAAACAAAGGACATGTGGCGGTGGTGGTGCCCTCTTGCAGAGACATGCTGCCCACCAACATGGGAATTCCGCCACAAGACAGCCCCTTCGTAGCCAAATCTTGGCGCTCCTTGACATTGTGCCTGGACGACGAAGGTCCCTAGGCCCAAGTTCACACTACATTATTTCACAGTCAGCAACTCGTCAAAAGTTGCGAGGGCGGCGGCAGCCAAAAGCAGATTGTGCACCTGCGACGCACACAGTGTCTGGCGCATGTCACCCACCCACTCACCCCCCCACCCACGTCATACCACCCTACCCCCCCACCCCACACGTCTCTGTAGTGAGACGTGCATTGTTAACTGCGTTATGTGTGTATTGTTAACTGCGTTAATAATCCCATTTATGGAAATCAGGAGCAAGTCAATAGAACTTTGCACACACATTCACATTCTTAAGGTCGAGTAGTATGGCGTGCGGGCATACGCGCTGGGCGAATGCAATTGGTGATTGCTGGACACGGCCACCTCACCTGCTGCATTGTACCCTTGGGGAATTCTTGCCAACCAAGAGTATACTTGTCAACAAGTCGAGCATAAGAGCCTTTTCCCGGTAGGGGGGAACAGATTTGAGTGCTCGAGGTTTTGTGCTGCTGGAAGGTATTCGGTTTTGACAACTGCACGCATTACGGACATCAAATTCGGCCTTGTTGCACTCTCCAGAGAGTTTTCTGACATGTGCTATGACTTTTGGCTGCAGGGCGAAACAGGACGGACCGTACGACGTGCGCTCACCTCCCATGCTGTTGGGCGTTGTCCTCATTGCAGTACTGGGGGTCATCTTTGCAGGAGCGGTGGTCGAATACCAAAGGAAGACACCAGAAGCCACATGAGTCCCCAATGGCAGAGATCATCCGTAGAGCAGTGTACATTCAGGTTTGCATCAACATCTGGGCTTGATGAGCCGAACTGAATGGACAATGTTGCTTAATTATATTGTATTTCTAGATGGCGTAAGATGTGAACTGACTGCACTATGTCGGCGGAATTGAACCATGCCACACAGGGGCTGGCGGGATGGAGCGGCAGTGCCCCATGGGTATTCACGGCCAGGATGACGTATGAATGCCTGGGCCGCCTGTAGTCGGGCAACACTGTAATGTGTTGTATCCAGTGCAGCGTATGAAGACCTTGGTGTCCAATCATTTGCCAATGCGACCATGTTGTCGTGGGTATGCGTCAAGGCGTGGAACCATCAATGACAGAGCCCGCGACTATCAGCATCCATCGCAATCGTTGGCTTTGAAAGCTCTTTGTCCCGCCTCAGGACTTGGGCCGCCGCCTCTCAAGGAACATATTTCTGCGCAGCAGGCGGGCTGGAGGCAGGCCTTTGCGAAGTTCTCCTTTGGGTGACAAACATTTCATAATTCTGAAAGCACCATGGTAAACATCCATTGCGAATGCCCCCTTTCCCTGAAATCGCCATGACAACAGGGGAACATGTGGCAAGCACCCTGCACCAAGGGCAAGGCGAACGATTCGTGGCCCGCACAGTTAAAGGATCTTGCCACCTTATCACGCCTGCTGCGCGAAATGTTTCTTGCTTCATACAAAAAGGCCGCCGCATCCAATCGCCAGTTGGGAAAAAGTTGTCTTGGCCCAGCGGTCTTTGGCGCTGGAGTCAAGTTCCAGTCCGAAAGGGCGTGGGTTGGAACCCCACAAGTATCTTGGGTCGAGTGACGCCACTTGCACGATCGCGACGGGGGTGACGCCGTAGGCTTGGGGTTTCAGGGAATCCGTGTGATGGGGGCAGGCGTCACGCGACCCAGACATACTACAGTCTCCAGTCCACACTTTATGAGCTCCTTTTTTCCTGCAACTCAAGGCCTCGTCGAGGGCGGAACAGAGCACACTGCTCCAGTTCACTCACAGAATGCGACACATCGCCTTACCTGGGGTGCGCAACAAAAAAATATCTGACAGCGTGTTCCTGACTTCAGTTGGCTTGATGACATTAGTCAGTGGGCAGTGAACATGCATCTGCGTCGTGGCCATCGAGTGTGGCGGATTGCTTCATATCGGCCTCCCACACTATGCAATTTCACAGCTGCCAATGGCGCGCGGTGATTGTGCCTGCAGCGGGAGCCCTCCAATTCCCCCTCAGATCGACACCTTCGAGCGGTGAATCTGTGATGTGAGCACATATGTGTGGTGCACGGCAACGAGCAGACGGCAACAGTTGCAAATTGACGATCCTCTTTTACCAGACACCTGCCTGGGGATGGGTGTGGATGACCCAACACCAACGTGCCTCTGCATTTGTATGTATAAATCTATCAGTGAAAGGTGGACGTACAAAAAGACCAAACCGTTCGCGTGAGTTGTCCCTGGAGCACCAGGCCATCAGAGCAATGAAATACAAACCAAGAGATATCTACACCAACATAATTCGATCCCCTGGGAATGCTAAGCTGAGTCTCTGAGGCTCCCCTTCTCTTTCCTACACTCCCACAACAACATCCCCAGAGTGTCTGGACTCCACTCCCCCTCGAACGCCGCTGGCTTGTTGAGATGGGGGGCTTGGCTGTTTGAAGCGGTACTCAGAGAACTTCGCAAAAAGCTCGTTTCGCCGCACATTCAGGAAGTGCACCAACAGCTGCAAAACCACAAAGCCACGGTGAGTGCCCACTGTGCAACATGGTGGGCACATCAAAGCTCACAGACAACCGCAGAAAACGGTTCACCTGCCGGAGCCCTTGTCAATTGGACTGGCCAGGTGCAGCAGATAAAGCAAATGAACAACATCAGAAGAGCAGCGCAACATCAACTCTTCCCACATCGCCCCAAGCACGATTTTCCTCATGGCTTGACACCGAACTGCACGGCTCCAACCCCCACATGGCACCTACCTGCAACCTGTAGTTCAATATGGCTGTTTGAGTTTGTGACAGAGGCACGGAGAGAAGAAGACTTGGCAGTTTGACAAGCAGTCGCAGCAGGTGCTCAGCTCCGTACACAGCAGATGCGCAGGTGCCATCGCCCATCAGCTGACCACAAGGAGATGGGGTTTCAGATGAGAGAACGCAATCAGTGCCCAGGACTCGAATGTGAACCATCGCAGGCACACCACAATTGGCAACGGGTGTGCAATGCCTGACCCGCACAAGGCAGTGCCAGTTGTCGACACTTGAAGTGCAGGTTATGCGATGAAACAGCATACAACTGAACTGACAAAATGCAAAAGCACAAGATGACCTGGAAAAACATACTGCAGATTGTGCTTTGCGTACGACACTGTGTGAAAGAATGGCTTGAAGGCATCCCAAGGGTCGATTTGTAGTGGTCAATAAGGCAGTGCCACAGATTCACAAGAGGGAAAACAACCCCAGCCTGACCTCCAGCGCCCAGACTGAAATGTGAAGAATTCCTGAGGGCGCAACTAATAGGTCATCGCAGCACTTGCATGGATTGGAGAGGGGACTCATGAGTATTGGTCAAAGAAACAGGATGTCTTGCGTTGCACACTGCTGTTCCTGCGCACTGAGGGCGACCAGGACCACTGTGAGGAATCAGCACAAGCTTTTATGACACAACCAGTGGCAAATTCATACCTTGTCCGACTCATCCTGCTCCATGCCATACAGAAGGTATGATCCAAGTGCTTTGTCAAAGTACTCCTCAACTCCTGTTGCCAGCTGCTGGAGGTCCTGCTGGGAGGCTCTGTTAGATCCACCAAAATGTACAAACTGTCGCAGCAGCTCCATGACTGGTGGCGATCGGGGCAGTGCCACTGTCCTGCCCTGATTGACGATGACCTCGTACTCATCCACAAGTTGTTTCTTCAGGGTGGGTGGCAGTTCCACCTCAACCTGCCAAGTGCACACCACAACACTTTCAAAGTCGCATAAATGACTTGCTGGAATATGTATTTATCAACCACCTTGGTGTGTCACCAGGTGTGTCAGGAACAGCAACAAAGCAAAAGCCATGGTTGTGGCCGATGGGAGCCTCACAGTGAGGGATGTGTTGCCCATCATTTCTTCTGCCTTTCTTTTCTTGACAAGCTTTCCAAGAGAGTCCCCACTTCCCTTCCCACTGCTTCTCCTCCCAGGAGGTGAGGAATCCCTCTCTGACATCTTCTGGAGTCCAGACTCCTCCACCCACTCGTCATACTTCTTATTCCAGCCCTGCAAACACAAGATCAGGAATGTGAGCTGCATTCTGAGAAGCACTTTTCAGACGTCTGCCAAATTCTCACCTCTTGTGGATCCCCAGGCACCCCATGGCAAGGCCCACATATGCAATTATCTATATGTCAACACATTTTGGCACATTTTTTTTCAATAGGCCCCTTACAACGCAATGGCGGTGGACCATACTCATAAACAGCTGAGCTTCATATGCTGACTACCCAGATGGGACACACTAATTGAATTCCACGCTGCTCAATGGGAATGCAAGGAATATAAGTCCATCCAACACTAAAAGAGCGAATTTTGCCTCGATGGCCCATTACACAGCAGAGCCAACCGTTCCATACGACTAATTGATGCAACTGACATGAACTGGAGTGAAGTACCCAGGTCCGGCCCAGCAGCCAAACACCAATCGCACCGTGTAGTGGAGATAAAAGTACCACACGCCATCATCGCGATTCTCTGCCTTCAGAATCTGCAGGGATGTCAACACAGTCACAGCTGAGGACAGAGATAGCCACCTCATGACAAAGGCTACGGCAACGCGCTGAGAGCTGGCACTCTTGACATAAAGTGCACGGCCTCCATGTTCAGTGGGGGCGACCCTGGCCGCAAACAGGGCACAAGGCCAGCTGGCCCCTGTTCCAAGTTCCATCTCGGTCACCTGTGCGCACATGCTCAGCGCGAGTGGGAAGTTGGCGGGCAGCAGGCGCCTCACAGGCGGCAGCCCAACGACCACGAATAACAGCGGCAGAGGCACCGCCCTGGGCGCCAGCAACTCCCAAACGTCGCCACGCACAGCGGCCTGACGTGGGGCCAAGGCGTTGCCTGTCCGGCAGAACGACAGAACGCCAGCTACCCCCAAGGCCTGTAGATTGCAGCCCACAAGGGCCCCCCCCCGACCATGTTGCCCCTCTTCGAATTCGATGACGTCCGCCCACCGATCACGCAGCTGCTGTCGCAGCTCACCGAACAGAGGTGACACTCGACGGCTGTGACAGGCGACGGCGAAACGAGCCAGCGGCACCCTCTCCCTGGCCCCCTCATCTCAGGCCGCGGCTTCCCTTGGCCCCCAACGCCCATCAACGCGACCCCTCCACCCCGGCCCCCGCCCTCCCCGCCCACATGCCGCGGACGACCCACGCCAAGGGCCCGCTGCAGGTCCAACGCGCGGAGGCAGCACCTTCGCCTCATACGGCTTGTCCAGATGCGGCACCAGCACCCTCTCGCCGATCGAAAACTGCGGATCGCCCATGCTGGTCGCCGATCACGCCAGTCGCGTGCCTCGGCGATTCAGCGCAGGGATGGGGATTGCGCCTCGCGCAGGCGGCTTGAAAGGGCGCGGGCGCCGCGCGGGACTCCCAGGCCGCGCTTCCGAGACCTGTCCCGCAGCACACTTGCCGTCCAGCGGATGTCCGCCTCTCCTCAGAATCGTATCTTCCGCGCTTTTGGCCCGTGCGGCGAACCTGATGAGTCGCCAACGTGTGAAGCAGCGCCCCGGCTGCCTGTCTCGGACGATTCGACCGCCTTGATGACCCGCCATGATGACGGCCCCCCGGGGGCAAGGCCAGGCCACGCCGGGGGCAGCGCGCCCCAACTATTGCGATTATGTTGAGGCCGCAGAGGAAGGCACGCAGGCCGGCGGGCCACAGGTTGCCCATGCGCCCACGGCGTCCCCTCAGCGCACTCCCGCGCAACTAATTGTTAGAACCCGAAAAATGAGGTTCTGCGCCTTGGCAGTCCGCCCTGACCGGCCGCTGACCGTGAAAGTGGCCGTCCTTGTACGGTGTGAGCGTTTCGGTCCCATTGTCCACGTGGTATTGCCGGCAGTTCCCAGGAAATGGAGAACCAAAGGTCAAGGAAAGGGCAGATGGCAGCTTTCATCGATGTTCCTTTGTTTTAATTGCCCGTTGTATGATTGCTCGACTCAACGCCACCTGGACAGGCATGCACACATGTGCGCTTGCGTGTGTGACACACAGCAAGCACGTGAACGCATGTGTTGATCTATTCCAATGTACTGTAAAGAGCAGCATTGCCCACTTAACGTTCCTATGCGATGACTCATTGAGTTCTCCGGAGGTCAACGTAGCCCCAGTACACGAAGGAAACATGTTTCACTTGTGACATCTGTTGAAAATGCGTTCAAATCAACCACAAAATACTGTGATTGCTCGCGGTTACTGAAGAGCAGCCGGCAAAGCATACCTTGACTGGGTGCACACCGAGACCACGCGGATCCATCGATGGTCCGGACAATCCGTGGGACTGGCACAGAAACGCCCTCCACAGTTTATTTCCAAAAAATGAAAGTATTCAATTGATTGGACAGCTTGCACCAACGATAATATGCACGCTGCAGCGCCAGACACTGCTGGCGCCGTGGCGATTGTCCGTGGGACCATTGATGTCAGTGGATGTCCTCGACAGCCAAATGCGAATGGCCACTGCAAGGTTGTGAGCTGTAGAACTTTTCGAACAGCCATCGCTAATTGCCGGCCGTGTGTATACGATACACTTGACTGCGCCCATCCACATCCCCATGGACGGCAACGAGCGGGATCTGGGGATCGCGCCATATGCCCTCTGGCGACCAGCACCGGTCGACTGCCGCGCTGCGCATACGGGGCTCCGAGGTCGAGTGACCAGAATCGTACCGGTTTGGGGCCATGCGGCCGCCCATCCTCAGATGGATTTTCAACTGGGATTGACGTGCAACGGCGTCCAAAACGGCCCCGATCAGCGTTGGGGACCGGATCGAAGTTATGACTGGAGGGATGCCTTATCCTTCATAAAGGACAGGTATATTTCCACCTCTCAGCTCCGACCTGCCTAACAACTATATTTGACCTACACTCACTACTAGCTATGGGATTCCAGGACCATGCACTGCATTTACCTAGAACGAGTCGGTTCCTCCCACGGTTGCATCGGTGGGAGGAGCATCGGTGCATCTGGGAATAGCTTTCCACCCATGGAATGCTGCTCCTGAGCCCTTCTCATGAACTTTCTTGCTGTGGATTGCCAAGGTAGGTACTGCCGATTTTTGCTGCTCCTGAATCTTCAAGAAATTAGTGGAGCTGTGTTTCAGTCAAATTTTGTTGTTATCAGAATAGTGGGGCTTTCTGATGCCGCGAGTTGGGGATACCACGGATCATCAATCTTGTGGTAGATCATGAAGAAATGGGCGAAGAGCATGAGTACATGGCAAATGACATGCAAAGAGTAAAAGGCAGATGGACGCAGCCTGGCGTTCCGACAACCACGCAGAACTATCTTTTGATTCATGACGTACGCAAAAATATCTTATTGGTGGCACTGCGTGGCGTTAACGTTAACGTCACGTAATGCCACCAGTAAGAGACTTGGCGACGGAACAAGATATTTGGCGCCGTTGATTAACGCTCAAACGTTGGCACGGAAAATGCCAGAAATTGTGGTTCCCCCCTACATCGTAACCATTAGAGTACCCTCGCCACCTTCCACCCCCCTGTTGCACTTTGCAGCAGCCAAATGGAAGCACTACAGCTGCTCCCGCCAGAAACGCAGAGTATGGCGGGTTGCGGAGATAGCATCCACCAAGCTTCGATTGTCAATACAAAATTTTGATTTCCAGGAAACAGCACACAACCGGACCACTGCCGCGTCCCCATCTGCCATACTGTCACGCAGTATAAATCCCCAACTCGACCGCGCGTCCCCAAGCAAACCAGCGGCCTTTCTGCCTCTCAACGCTGCCCGCAGTTGGTGCCTAGATAGGAGGAAATACAGCGGCACCGCGGGGCGGCATGGGCGCTGAGCCCAATGGAGAATTGGCGACGTACGGCCACGGTGGGGCCGCACCTTCTGCAGGGACGGGGACAACCAGCAACGATGCCTTGCGGGCGTCTGCATCGCCGGTGGGTGGCGGCACTCCGACCCCGCCGGCGAGGGGTTCCGCTCGCGGCACGGCAGGGGGCCGGGAAGCGCTAGAGGCAGAACCATGAATGGGAGATGGCGTGGCGGCCGGAATGGACGCGCGCATCGCGATCGCCCCCTGAAGGCCATCGACGATCGATCGATCGCCGTCCGGTCAGTAACGCGGGACGTGCACGCAGCACACTAATGAGCACGGATTTGCGCCCTTTGGGTGCCGCTTTTGGGATTGACCAATTGCGGAAAGTCCGGCATTCCAGCGGGCATTTCGTCAGGGGGGATCCCAGCTGTTGATGGAAAGCGACGTCCGGTTCAATCTCCCCGGAAGGCGCCAAAGCCCCACGTATCCCACACCTTCGGGCCATCAGCGGGAGGAGCGTGACATGCATCAGCGCATTCAATGGCGCCAAGATTAAGAATGTGTGTCGTTTTTGCTCGCGATGTCATTTGCCCTGCGATGAGGCTGCCCTTGATAGGCGCTCGCACTGCGGAACCGCGATTGCGACTGTTGGCTCCAACAGTCTATTCTCAGGCCCGAAGAGATAAATGTTGTCCGACAGCAGCGGCGCTGACAGTTTTTAGCGAATTGGGACACAGTGCTGCAACTGGGTGCGCTCGTCTACAGCATGCTGTGCACTCTGTGGGGCCAATTGGCATGGGGCCAATTGGCCGATGCCCCCGTCGTTGATGATCGGCCGGGGGCCAACTCCCAGCGCAGAACGCTGTAGCGATCGATCAGGTCAGGCCGTGTGTGCTGACGCTACTTTTGTTTTTCACCATCCAATGCAGAATACAGAGGAGTTATCACCATCATCGCCCGCACCTAGATGCCAAATAGCATTTCGGCAAATGCGCATCGATGTATCGAATGTCCGACCTTTGTACTCGTGAATAGACCTCAAGAGAATCTGAATCCACTGAATTCGAATGATATGCATTGGATTTTCACGTGCACTGTCAGACGTGAATCGATGTTGCAGTTGTTTAAACATTGACCACAGGCGTCGCTACACATGTCAGATGAAGGAAAGCTATTCCAGAAGGAGTATTCCTGCAAGGAACTTGATGCGCAAAGGAAGCTCCCCAAAGCCGTCCATGATGAGCATCATACATGAGGCAGTAGACGACGAAAGCAAGGAAGAAAACGAGGCGACGGCAGTGGAGGAAGAGGGGAAATTTCCTCTATCGGAGGCACGCGCAAAGGGCCAGCAAGCGCGCAAGGGCAATGTGACTGACCTCCAAAATTGAACTACATAACATAATATTTCACAACTATGTGATTGCCCACTATACGGTTTCAGAGCAAAAATATACTGCGAAATTCCCTTAGTATTACCAAGACAACGTTTTATGGCATTGACCTAAGGCTGGCCTTCGGCATCCTTCCTTCTTTTGCATGATACAGCATCATTTATCAAAGGCAGTTGCGGCAACATGCGATTTCATGATTGCTCATGGCAGAGCGAAGACCTGCGCTCCATGGGACCAGGTAGCTGTGACACCTGCACAGCTGTCGAGTGCGATTAAGGACGGAATCGCAAATACAAATGATGAACAAGATGGGAAGGGATGCGCCGCATGTAGGGCGTGCAAGCACAATGATATCGTGATATATTCATACAGCATCCAGTAAATCTGTATCGATACGGATGCCGTGAGACCATCTGTGCCTACAGTAGTGCCGAAATAGTTGTGCAACTATTGATAAATGCAATTTCTAGCTCCATTCCGGTCTTTTTATCCCAAATTGTTGGCCTCATTCGTTTATTCATTAAATGTCTTTTTGAGCTCCTCCGAATCAGCATGATTTGAAGAAATGTTAGATCTTCGAAAGGGAAAAATTTGTTCCATTTTCCTGTGGGCTGCGCAGGTCTTGCCGAACTGTGCGGTGGATTCAAATTTGGTCGATCGCACTGCTGCAACACCCGCGGCTGATGCCTTGAAGCCCACACTGAACGCTGGGGCAACGGCCAACACTGGGTGTGGCCCCATTAATATGGACCCTTCGCTGCGAGGATATTTGTTGTTCGTGGCACAGAACCGCGAAAGAATGAAAGGTCGGTGGGGATTGACGATGCACAGCAATTGGCGCTGACTTCAGCTTATTAAGTTGATTCAAATCAATATATAGAAAGTGTAAAAATTTATTGCCCTATTTAATCAGCTGCTTTCAGAATCTTGAAGCAAATTCACTATGCACATTTTCAACTGATAATTAAAAAAACTGATAATTGTTCTGCTCTACAAATCTTCCTATGCGGCAACTGTCGTTCTGTGCGTGCAGAGTTCTGTCCTGACTACACCATTCAGCAAATTAGCCAACAGATGGTGAAGTTTTGGAAGGAGTTGCCAGAAGACGTGAGAAAACGTTATGAGGTGAGAAGAGGAGCACAAAATGGTATGGGAGACTGATTGTTAGCTACACGTTGCTGCTTGGCACGCTCCACGTCAACATCAACGAACCTAATGAATCTGCAGGCAACGGTGAGAGAAAGTTGTGATTATTCGTTGATGTATTTCATTCTCACGGTGCGGATCTCCAGCAAAAGCAGATCAGAGGGTCGCAAGAATATGGTGTTCCCAAAGGCCTATGAATTGAAAATGAATGATAGGTATTATCCCACTATGGCAAAAGTATTTGGCAGTTTTAGCGTATTTCAGCGCACCATCTGTGCTAGGTGTGTGCCACGAATTACACTCGAAATTCTTCAGAAATGGTCCGGTTTATCATCACAGCATTATAGCTGATAGTGCGCATCTTTCTTGCTCTGGAAACCTGATATGGGAGTCAATGGGGTCACAGCAATTCAAATGTCCAAATGATGATTTAAATTTGCAGCAACGCTTTAACTGTGTACGATCAAAAAATATGCTTGCAGGCATTTTTTAGCAACATAAACATGTCCACACCAAAATGGAAAATGCCAGCAGCAAGTACCACAACGAAGTAGACAGTTACGTGAGAGCCGTGTATGCAGATCTGAAGCAAAGTGAAACAAGAATGACCAACATCGTCACGCACCGTCCATCCATGTTCTTGCATGTTATTCGTGTGGTGAGGCCTCTTGCCAGGCACAATGTATTCGCTGAATTTTATGGATCCAGAACCCTCAAGAAAGGAATCCACATATGCAGGGAGATGCTTCGGGAATCCCTCCTCCGCCACCAGTGGATGCCTTGATGAAAGAATGCCCAGATTCCACCTCAAGAACGGCGACCGCAAATGGATCCGCAAACGTGTGGAATGAAAGAAACATGGAGTACACGGCACCTGCGCAGGAAGCCGTTGCTTCTTCAGCCTACGGTCTTGCGGTATCGGGACCGGAGGCAGCGGCAGCAGGTGTGACGGTTCGTGAAGCACAGCAATCGGAAGCAGAGGCACCAAATTCTCTGATGCCTCCCAAGCCCCTACCAGCAGAGGCACGTTCAGCTGCAGCAAAGGAGGCGAATGCACAAGATGCAAGGAGCAAGCTCGCCTCCGCATGTACCAGCACAAAGGACAAAGGAATAACCAAGAGGAATAGCCCAGACATTGTGTGCGACGCAGTTCAAGCCCGTCGTCAGGTTTGTCATTTTGTGTGCCATCGATGACTCTATAATGTGAAGGCAAAATGGGCGTGTTGCAGAGAATCAGCGCCATTGATATGTCGCACGTACAGCAGTCGGTGTATTCGAGCTGTTTAAGCAGCTCGAAATTTGAAATTTCAAACCTGCGTATGGCACCTCAAGAATCCTTGGGTATATTGTGATTCGATATGCAGTTTTATATTTTATTTATTTTACTGTTCTATGAAATACCACATATGCGCATGCATAATGAGACTATAGCATTATATTATTCAGATACAAAAGAAAGGTGCGCACAACATATTTGGTGTGCATCGACAATTTAAATTGTCGATGTTTCATGGCGTAGACAAAGACACCACACTTTAAACAATAAGGTGGCCATCTGCTTTTTGTTCGACCACAAGTTTCAAGGAAATCTGGTTTGTCCACTGCACTCAAGAAATGCATCACATATAATGCAACTATCGATAGAATGAACACATGCAAGAGTTTAGTGTCTAAGTCTGGGAATACCCACATGTGGAGCGCTGGTTGTGAAAGGATGCCTCTAAGAAGAGGAAGGGAAGGCCTCCTGGAGTCAAAACGATGAAAACAGCGGCAACGGGACGGAATACAAAGAAGCAATGTTTATCAGGCGGCAGAAGAAGAGCCAAAACGAGGAAAACCTCTGAGGGGTGTGTTCCGGAATGCACGCCCTTGCCCGGCGTCGATCGCGCCATTGCTGAGGTAGATGGACAGCCATCGGATGGTGATTCTGACAGAGAGGTGCGGAGGCAATCTGTGTAGATTATTGTCGACTGTGAGGCTGATTCCATATTTCTGCCCAAAGGCGGTATAATATGGTTCCCCATCAATTAGATCATAACAACCCATGGATCGTCGATTCGATGCTTCGGAATCCCATGCTTCCGAAGCATGATTCAATCGGCGACCCACCATTTGATGCAGTTTTCATGCAAAAATATCGATACAGGTCTCACTGCTACGGTTTCTGCAAAGACCTGGGGCACGTGTGGGCACATGAAGATGGCTATTCGGTAAAATAGTGTTGCGTTTTCTGTTTCACGAGGAGCAAATTTCCAGTTATGTCAGGTGCCAAATGCCAGAAGGTTGTGCCAAGTAATCTTACACATTAAGGACTGAAAAGGCTAATGCTGCCGGTGCCGATAGTCTTTGCATCGCAATGCGTGCAAACCATCTCTCACTTTGAGAAAGCATCCTTTCAATTGCTGAAAACCATTACAGGGGGACTTGCGATAAGTCTCATGTTCCCACACGCAATTTTGGGGCAGCTCTGTTGGGAATTACAAAGGCATGAGAACAGATACATAAGCGCAATGTTTGTTTGTGAGCCGATTGCGTCGTTTGTCAGATTGCGGAAGATTCCCAGACTCAAAGTGGAAAATATCGAGGCAGCTGTGTCAACAAAATGTAGAAAATCTCAAGGACACATCATTATGTGCAGTATCGTGCATTTTGTTTGCCATATTATACACGCGAGTGCCACCCTTGTGAATTGTAATAAACCGGCCAAAGTTTTAGATACCACGAGCGTCCTTTATTTCCAAAGTCAACTCCAAATACTCGGTTCCCATGAGACACTGATGGCGTTCTTTCCCCACATCCCAAGTACTATTTGTCCAAAATTATGCTAAGCCGTACCAATGCATAAGATGCGGGGAGACCATGTGATCGCGATCACGAAAGCGGGCCGTTCAGTGCGTTGAAAACATCAGCTGAACATGGAAAGGCTCTGAGTCTCCTTTCGCACTAGTATATTGCGAAGATAGTTTGATTGCATGAGCAATAAGACGCAAACGCCCAAAACACAATTGCAGCCTAGAGCACTAAACCGACTCCGATCACGAGTAGTGGTTCAAAATGTGCAAGTGGTGCTTCACTGCAACAGGGCGTGGATTGGATGCAGCACCCAGCAGAGCGAATAATTTCGCAGAAGCTCAACGGGAAGGTGTGCTCCCGCCATAATGAATGTGCTTACTTTCTTTCCGAAATTTCAGCGAGTTTGATAGAAATTCGACCATCGCAAATATGCGATATTTTAGTTCTAACTTGGACCAACAGTGGCATGCGGCGGGCACACGTACGCCGTACGCCTATTCGTATACGAATCCAATTTGACGGGCCCCGAATTCGGGGTCATCTATATGGCGATGCGATTCGAATCGCATCGCCATATGGAGAATGTAAGACATCATTGGCGGACTAAGAGTTTCTACATGTGCATTATTTCATATCTTTTATCTCTGTTCCTTGCAAGTTCTTTGTTGTTTCTTATAATTTGTGTGTTGAACACTGAAGTTCTGGAATTGAAAGGCTTTTCAGGACAACCACATGCAAAAAGTTGAAGAGAGAACCTCTTGGATGTAGAGCTGAGACTGCACTGTAGGAACTTTGTCCTGTCTTGCTGCATAGTATCTTGTGAAGGTGGAAGGGTTGGATTTGACGAGGTACGCAGTTGCGAGCTCAAAGATGCGCAAACATCGTCTTCTGAACCGGAAAGCCGCGAACGGCGATTGTGGAGGAAGCAAAGGAGGGCACAAGGCAGGGAGCTTTGGCGCCATGGTGCGTGAGTACTCTGGCTTCTGCAGCCGCTTTTGGAATGCCGTCTCAGAGAGACTGGAAGACGGAGAGCTGAATCTAGGTAAGGGGTTGGCCGATGGCAATGTTGCATCCATGGGCACGCAATTTCTGATACCCCAGAAATTTCATCAAATTTGCTCTTTATGGCATCTGCTGCGCGACCAAATTGCTGTTATCTTTGTCAAGGGATTTCTGTCGCGTCCGCTTTGGGCTTTCACACAATGCACTTTTGCGACGCTGCTTTTAATCGCCTGACAACTGTGAGAAGTTTCCAGCGGGCACTTCTGCTTGCCACGTGCGCGTGTCTTCAGACGCGCCTTCGTACGAAGATTGTTCAGCTTCGGGATAACTGCGTTCATGGCGCTTCACAGAGAACCTTCCAGAAGGATCGCCGCTGGAGATTTGCTACTACTTGGTGAGGCAAGCCGCACAGCCGGTGGGAAATCTGTCGCGATGTGCCACGTCATTTGCGTGGAAACGGGGTGACGCGAGGAATTGTCGATCACGTTCCCACACCCACATTATGCAATCAGCTCCACCGTGAACAAGGGGATAAAGTATAGTCTAGACGCCAGCAGCACCACATCAGGCTCCAGTTACCAGCTTCCACCCGACGTCAATCGTTCACAGAATGGGGAATGGAAAAATCTGTGTGATGTACTTCTAGGTGCATGAAATATCGTGCACGGCATCATATGATGTCTTGCTACACAATGTGCATCTGCTTTTCACATAGAATTGTTCTACAACGCGGCAGTTAACTGCGCAGTCATCTGCGACATGGCGTGCCCACGCAGGGGAAGCTGCTCGAAAAGGGCGGACCTTTGAGCACAACAACGAAGGCTCAAATGGACACCATGATCAAGGTTCCAATGATGGGGTGAGCCCTAGTCTGCGTTACAAAATGCCTCACACATCGCAGGCTGGCCAATGATGCGAGCTATCAGTGATTTTTTTCCATGTATTTCGAAACAGGCCAATGCCCTTCAGGCACGTAGCGCCGACTGGACAAATTCGAATTCGTGAATGCGCCACTGACCAGTACTGGTGGCAGTGGCGGGTGCTGGCGACGCTTCACGCACTCATGAACTAACCCCCCTCCTCGAATTCCAACTATTAGCGGAAACGACAGCCGGCAGCCTGCAGGTGGCGCGGACGTGGTCATGAGTATGGCCAGTTCAGCGATGAAGTGAAAATCTTGATTGTGCATGAACTCCGCGGTCTTCTGCAGGATTTCAATGGCAGTTCAGCGCCTTGTCGATTACGAGCGTGACAAGGCATCAGCTGCTGAGAGGCGCGTATCAGAGCTAGAGGAGCGACTAAAGAGCTTTGAAAAGGGGTTGGAGTGCGTGGAGAGCGCGAAGGCCGTCACCCGGGGCATGCTGGCGGGGACTGAACACAAAGAAGAATGAACGGAGGACAGCGCTTGTGCAGTACACGTGCGCGACAGGGCCCTAGGATTATCTGGGAAATGTGGGGGCAATTTGAATTTAGACAACGCCAAACAGCAGTAGCCACGGCGCCAGCGGGGGTGTGCAGGGCAGCAAGCGCTTTCCTTGTGCACTAGAAAGCCGGGCTTCGCTAACGGGATGTATGGACATCGTCACTATTGAAATGTATTTGCGGAAACCGTAAAAGCCTAGCATGCAAAAAATATGCGAGTCCGTTGCAAATCAGCTGAATCTTGTGATTTCCGCCTTACAGAATATGCTTCCCGAATGACTCACAGGATCGGAAATAACCGCAATTGCCAGCATCAATGTCCACCATTTCACCATTTGTTTCAACATAGATGTCCACGGCTGTCCAATCAGTTTGCCCTCAGGTTCGTGGCTTGAACCAAAGTACTGAGCCCCAGTGTTCATGCCACACTTGCTCCAGAATTCAAGCGCGCGACCTAACAATCCGTTAGTAACGGATGAACGCGGGGGAGCAAACAAAATAGATGGCGGCCTTGATGGACAGACTGCCTGCTGGCCATATGAAAACTTTGAAAGCAATCGCCGGCTCTCCTTGACAATGCGTCTGAAGCGCACTGACCCATTCGCCCAAATCAAACGCAGTGTTTGGACCCACAGCCCCCGCACTGCAGAGCGGCCGACTGCTGGGAAACAGGGAGGCATCCGCCATCTTAGAGCCTGAGAGAGCCTGGCGCTCGCCAGCATCTCCGCAAACAGAAACTTGTGAGGCGAGGGCTGGACCCTGAAAAGCAGTGCGTGTATGACGGATAAGCCCTATTTGGTGTTTCCTTTGGATTTGCTGGCGTGCATACAACAGGTGGTGATAATGAAGGCATGTTTTTGTTGACGATGTGCAAGCCCCATTCCACAAGCACAAGAGCGATTTGCTCTCGTGCGATGAGTTTTCTTGCTCGCCGCACGCTTCGGAGCGCATGCTGCAAACTCTCTTGGGCAGATGGACATCAGCCGCCCATCTGCGAGACGGCGCACTCTGGAAGTTGCTTGAACCTTCCTGCATCTTCACCGAATGGCTCGAGCCCGAGGCGCCCCGGGTTTACGCCATCATCTGACCGTTACAAATGGTGATTAATGGCGTGGCAAACTCAACGTTCTGCGCCCAAACGGGGATATAAATGCGCTGGCTGCGCTGAACCATCGCCACGACACGGCACTTGCGCTCCCCCTGCCCAACACAGCAGCCAGCCATGGGCCGACGGCCTGCGCGGTGCTACAGGCAGATCAAGGGGAAGCCGTACCCCAAGTCGCGCTTCTGCCGCGGTGTGCCAGACCCCAAGCTCAGGATCTACGATGTGGGCGCCAAGAAGGCGCCCGTGGACCAGTTCCCCAAGTGCGTGCACTTGGTGAGCTGGGAGAAAGAGAACGTGTCCTCTGAGGCGCTGGAGGCCGCCCGCGTGGCGTGCAACAAATACCTGACCAAGCACGCCGGCAAGGACGCCTTCCACATCCGCATCCGCGTCCATCCCTTCCACGTGCTGAGGATCAACAAGATGTTGTCGTGCGCCGGGGCTGATAGGCTCCAAACGGGGATGCGGGGCGCCTTTGGGAAGCCCCAGGGCGTGTGTGCGCGCGTCAAGATCGGCCAAGTGCTGATGTCCGTGAGGTGGGTGGCTGGGCGGGAGTGCGCCTCCCTGGGGACCATCCCGGGTCCGTTGGCCCCATGTTGGCCCCATGGCCCGGCGGCTGCTGGCGGGATTGGGCTGGGCAGCGCACACGGGGAGTACCGAGCCTATGCTGCAGGGGATGTGGCGCCCGTTGGGGGCTCTCTTGGTCGAAACGGGCTTGTTGCTTGGCGTGCGTGGCCCCTGACGGGGTTGTCGTTGCGGCGGCTGCAGGTGCAGGGACCAGCACACGGAGGTTGCGCGCGAGGCTCTCCGTCGCGCGAAGTTCAAGTTCGCCGGGCGGCAGAAGGTGGTGGACAGCAGAAACTGGGGCTTCACGTCCTACGGACGGGAGGACTACGTGCAGTGGCGGCGTGCGGGGCGGCTGGTGCCCGACGGCGTGAACGCCAAGCTGCTGGGCAACCACGGCCCGGTCGACTCCAGGGTGCCCAAGCAGCTCTTCTCCACAGCGGCTCGAAACTGCGGGATCCCCATCCACGACGAGTGAGGGGTGTTGTGCGGTTGGATGTCCAGGAGGCGGCTGCCCCATTGGCGGAGTGGATGGTGCAGGGTGGTCAGACCTGTCTGCTGAGCAGTGCAGGGCTAGAAGCCACTTGGCGGGGGCGCGTTGCTGCCAAGACTGTCACTCAGTGCAAGGATATGGGCATCATAGTTGTTCGCGGGCATGATGTAATCCAGCTGTTGTGGAGGTTTCAGTCTTGTTGCCTATTTCTGCATGGCCTTCCATTGAAGTGGCACCCTGGGCATGCACTTCAAGTGCAGACAAAAGATCCCTCCAGCATGGGCACAGAGGGCAGCCAGCCTTTGAGCATTTGGCCATGCTGCAGAACTGTTGCATGAGCCAGCACCAGTACCACAGTGATCCTCAGGAAATGCAGGACTTAGTGGAACGCGGACGATGGCGGTGAGGAACCAGAATGTGCTGTTGTCCTCTGAGCATTTCTGCACCACTGACTGAACGAATCCACACTCCCAGGTGGGAGGTACAACTACAGGGGTGTGCCAGTTTGGCAGTGCCCCTGAGCCCGTTGCCAATCTTGCAAGAAAGCGACTTGCAGTGAGCTGTCTACTGATTCGCAAACATGAGTTTATGGTGCTTATGGACGGCAAGCTGATGTCTCTAACACAGGCTACCTGCTGCCCAGTTTTGTTTGGGCATTGGCATTTGAGCTGCATTGACACCCCACACAGTCAAATCAAACTTCCCCACAGTGAGTATGAATGAACATCGTTCCAGTGGCTGTTGCTTGGAGCACAGGTGCACACCATCCCTCTTAGAGTGCAATGATCACAAGGATGGGTTTATTCACACCCCACTACGGCATGCTGCTACTGAATCAGCAACAATCCGTTGTGTCACCGTGCAATGGTGCTCTCGTCTGAGTGCATTTGCATCCAATGTATTGCCCAGGGACGCTGGTGGCATTTGTGGTTGTCATTTCCTGTGCCAAGTCACCAAATTGTTCCCAATACCTCAACCGAGCCCTGCTAAGGGTCAACCTATCCACTATCTGCAAATGAAGGCCCACTGTACGACACGGTATATTCTGGGAGCCCCTAGTCTGGCATTGGGGTCCGTGTCCTCGCCCTGAAAGGGGTGGAGTGTGCACATAAGCGAATTGTGATGCAAAGATGACTGCGCTTGATAAAGAATCCAGAAGATTGGCACTGGTGCGGCGCAGGCTGCTGTGTGAACTCTTGCTGCAACGCTACTTTTACAATGGTGTAACCATGGAAGCACAGCATAGATAGCTCCCGTGACTAAGGCCGGCATGCAAATCTCTCAAACAGGCGGTTGCGGGCGCTGTTGCTTCTGACAGCTGCCCCATATCTTCCATCCAGCTTGGCTTTTCGACCAGTGTGCACGTTGTTCCGTATTCTTGAGGCCCGCATTGCACAGGAACCTGTGTCACATTGCTCCTGCACACATGCTGATGCACCTGCAGCTAGGTTCTTCTGTAAACGCCCGAGCTCAAGTTGATCAAGCGCTCTCCGGGCCATTCTTGCATATCCACCAACATGGTTGATGCTGTAGAACGCAGGGTCCCCGCCATCTTGCTTTCTGGGGTCTGCTCCAGCCCCGGAGCAATCTTCCAGTGGCTCATCACTGCATCCACTCTTGGTATCCTGTGGCAATGGACCCTCGCAATCCTGGTCCGCAGAATTCTCCAGGTTGAACGGGGTTGGTTCGCCGCTATTGCTGCCTATCTGGCGTTCGAGCCCAGTTGGGCACTTGGTGAATGCAAAGCGACTGAAATCTGGAGCCCGTGCCTGCCTTGTATGGTGAAGGGGAGCCTCAGCGTTGCAGGCAAGGGGGGATAGTGGCCTACCTGGGCTGACTAATCCATCGAGTAGCCTGTCCAGTCGCTTGCATGAAGGAGCAGCAAATGATGCACAGCTGATGCCACCAAAGCCATCATCCCCCTTGTGCCCGTCACACTCTGCATACCGTTGTTTCTTCCTGCTGCTTGGCCCTCTGGTGGAAGGAAACCCAACCTGATAGCAGTGAATGCTTCCAGGAGTGGGAAACAGTTCATCGAAAAGAATGTCAGGGCTCGCATCACTCCCAGCAAAATATTTGGCCTGCCTCGGGGTCCATGTGTCCCCAGGATGGAGGCCGTCATCACTCAGGCCACGAATGGTGGAGCCCACCACACCAGAGTTGTGTACCCTGTGCAGCGGATTGCCACTCCCCATAGGTGAACTGAGGCCCGCAGGAAAGCCGCCTGGCGATGCATCATTGCAATCCTGGAATGGGAGAACAGGCGATGCAGAGCACAAAGAATCCCCAACCAGACTGCATCCATGAGTCAACCAGTGCTCCCCACCATTGGTGTAGTCGCCCATTCCCAGGTCTGTTCCATGATTGCTGCCATTGTCTCCCACAGGGGTTGCTTGGGACACCTCAGAGGTGCTCTGCAATTCGCTGTTCAGCGGCCGATCTGCATCCATAGGCTTGGGAGTGGAGCCTGGTATTGGTGGCCTGCCTGTGCCCCTCCTGCGTCCGTGCCAGGCAGGTACTGTTGAGCCTTCCCCTGAAGCACAATCCCCATAAAATGCGAATCGCGAAAACCCCAGGGCGTGGCCATCGGTAGTCTCCTTCTGAGTGATCAATGACAAGCAGTGACTTTCTGTCGTTTCTTCATCCGCTGCTGAACATCTTTGGGAAGTACCTATGGCAACAGCAAAACAGCCTCAAGACGAATTTGAAGGACTGGTGCCCCTGACTGTGAGCATTGTCGTTCGTCCTGTCTGGCCCATTGTTGTGCGCTGTTCCTGATCCATTCAGAGACGTTTGCAGAATATCTCGCTGATTCACAGAGTCTCCGCATTGTACACACGAGCATGCCATTGGTATTGCTTTGTTTGTTCATGCCATGCAGTATTTGAGCCTCGTTGATTGTAGTAATGGGGTCCATTTAGAGTGAGAGCAGCTGGTATTGCTTTGTTTGTTCATGCCATGCAGTATTTGAGCCTCGTTGATTGTAGTAATGGGGTCCATTTAGAGTGAGAGCAGCTGGGATCCATGGGAAGCGTGGGATGCAGTCAAACTCCTGACACAGGGCCCTACCTGGTTTCTGAATCTCCCTGACAGGCTGATGTGGTGTGGCTGCAAACCTTGGTGCAACAAACTGGCGTTTGGCCTGCTTGCAAGATGCAGGCACAGCAGAAAAGTAGTTTGCTATCCCAGATGCCCCCACAGGAAGTGCTCGATTAGTGCCTGAGGGACAATAACACCAGCCGTAAGTTACAAGGTAAAGATGGTCAGACAAAAGTCGTCTGCTGCATGGGGAGAATGAGATGCAAATTGCAATTGCAGGCAGATCATACTGTGATGTGTGCCTGACAGTGGCGCAGAACTGTGTGGCTTTAAGCTTGCACAAATGAAATGGGAAATGCCAAGGATGCTGTCCAGTCACACATAAGCACAGTAATGGAACAGAAAAGCTAATGCAGCATGCTGCTGATGAAGTTGAAACTACTCACTGACAAGCTCAACAGACTCTTGACAGGCCTTCCAGGGAAGAGGATTTCACTTGTGCTCTCCAGGCATTGTTTGAACCACATGAACTGCCCATCGCCTGGCAATCCACACATGTCAGAGAGAAAACAATGCCTCGTCCTGCAATCAGGAACCATAAACGAAGGTGTGCAGTATTCCTCCAACATCGCTCTGGCCTGCCAGACTGACACATCGTTCGTGTCTGCACTTCAGAAGCGACCCACCTGACCTCCTCTTGCTGCCACTAGCCGCTCGTCCCGATGATGGCTGAGTGGCTGACTGTTCTCTCCCGTTAGCTTGTGTCCCATCGATGGATTGGTTTTCAGCTGCAGACTGTGAAAGATCAAAGGGCTGGAGAGTAACTGGATCCAGGTCACCTGGTGTCCGAGCACATCCTCAGTCAATCCATCAATCAAATCACATCGTCTCAGTCCCAGCATCGTACTGGGTTTCAGAGCCAACATCGAAGCCAGGATTTGGAGTGCTGGTTGCAAGTCACATTGAAGCACATTGGCTCCACGAGTTAAACTGCTTAGATGGCAGGGTTGATAGATGCTGAACATTGGCCTGGAGAACTTCTATTACAAGGGAACCGCGACTCCCTTAACTGCACAAATTCCAGTTCAGCGAACAGAAACTCCAGCTCTGTGCACATAAATTTGCAGGAAGACTGTCACAAGCAATGGCCAAACAGCGTCTCCTTGATTTATTGGAGCTTGTCGATTTTTCAATGGATATTGGCAATTGTGACACAAAGCAATTCTTAACTGGAGGCACCATGCCAACGGCACCTACCTACTGCCACCGCCTGAGCTACCTCTGCCTCAATGTGTGGACCCAAAAAGTCGAGCTCCTGCCCACTATCCCCATTTGGAAGGGCGTCTGGGACCAGAACATTGCCCGCCAGCAAACCACCCTCTGGCAATGGATTGATGTGGACGATGCCCTGTCGCCGCTTGCAAAACACCCTCTGATAGTGGAATACCCAGATCACACGCTGAAACTCTGCCTCAAAAGTTCGAGGGATGCTTGTGCCGTTGAGCCTGAGGCTCTTGCAAGCCTGTGAGTGCACGGTGTAGCATATTCATAAGCAAACTCCACATTGTTCAGTTGTGGGGGCAATAGTGTTTGTCAGGCACAACATCAATAGAGAAGCTGGAGCCAGTCATTGCACATTGTGTTCCGCTGCCAGCCTTGTGTCAAAGGATGTCCCCACAGCAGATGAAGAAAATGGCCAAAACACCCACCATTCATACTATAGACCATTTTTTAATCAGTTTTGAAAACAATTCATTCCATGATATGCTCAGACACACCCTGACAAAATTCTTGACACGCCGGATCTGTTGGTGTGCCCTCTTCACACCAATGCCGTTGGGTGTCTTCAGGAAATCGCACCCTGCCATTATGCACATCTGCAGCAGAAAGACAGGAAATCAATCTGCCGCAGTATGTAACAAGGTTTGCTCATGGGGCATTGCCTGTTCCTGGATTTGGTCTAATACCCTGGCCACAGAGAGGGGAATTTTCGGCCTTATTTGTTCTTGCACAACAGCTGGCAGTGCACAAGACAAACGTACACAGAGCAGACTAGAGACACATTGCTATGTTGACAAAGGATGAAGCACCTGAAGGGTTAACCTGGATACAGGTCGACAGCTTTTAGATTCACCCTGTCATCCACAAGGGTGTGAATCTCTATTGCCCTGGGCACCAGGGAACAAAGTAGTAGAACCAGCTTGACTCATCCCCAAATTATCTAGGATTTGCCACTCAAATTTTGCTGGAAGCAATGCAAACTACCACCGATCAGGCATGGGTCACTGTGCACTTGTGCAGGAAACAACACACATTCCACTTGTACTAAGAGCACTGAGACACTGCAGTGCTGAGACACTGAGATTCTCACAATGAACAGCCTGGTAAGATAGAGGGTTTTCCAGTCACTATTCCAGTTGACAAGAGCACAGGCAAGAGTCTGCTTTATAGCTCACATCATGTCCGCTATGGATCCTGTGCATGAGCGATACGACTGGGTGATTGACCAGCACAATACCAGGTCCGATGCGGGGTGTGGAACCAAATGGGAATATCTGGATGGTGGTTCACGCTGAACTGAAAACGCACCTCAAGAAACATCTGCTGTGTGAATCCAACAAAGCTCACAGGCTTGTTCAATGCAAGGTCTGAAAGCAGAATCTGCTGTCCCTCTCCCATCTTGTCCATCTTGAACAGCACCTGTAATCGAAACACAATGTCAGCTGCATATCACAGTGACAACTCTCCACCTTTCCATTTCCCAATTTTTCCGTTTTTACCCGTTCCATTGGCACCACTGACATGCACAGTTGCGAAACCAGCGTATGGCTATTCCCTGCCTATTCTGTGCTGGGGCAAAAGAATGGAGCCAGTCGGTTAAACATGGAGCTGTGTCCATGCTTAGGCAGGCAAACAGTTGTGCCACTGGATGCAACCAAAGGTTTGCAGGAATGAGCAAAGGCACCAATGTTCTATTTCTTATTAATAGGTACACGGATCAGTGCAAGGTTGCAAACAACAGATGACCCTCTACCCTAGTCTTTTCCTGGGCAGATCTTGAAGCCCCTGAGCCTGTCTGCAGACTACGATCTGGGTGTTCATGGTAAACTTGGGGAACCTCTGTTTCCTCACCCTCTGACAGCCATATGCGAGCATATCCGAGTCTTCTGTCACCACAGCATGCACTTCGCCAGTTGTTGCAAGGTAAGCCATCTGTGCATCGGCTTCGTAAGGCGCCACGATGTATTCAACCCCCGTTGCCTTCAGGACCTGTGGTAGACACAACAAATGCTGTGTTTCTTTGCCGATGTTTGTTGTGTTGGTGCTGCAACCTCTGCTGGTGTGCAGATGTTGTGTTGTGTTTGGTGTTGTTGCCATGGCAAAATAGCAGACTACAGCACCTTCTTGCTGCTGCAATCCGCCATTCGGGACTTGAATGAAGAAGGTGACCGACGGTTCTTGCACGATGCTGTTGGCGTTTGGTAAAGGCATAGGATGCTGTGTAAAAGGCAGGTGATGCATGGCAGCAGCCAGAAAACGTGTCATCCATGCATGTGCTGTGACTGTTGACCTGTCGCAACCCATTCACTAATGTTTAATTAGCTCCTTTTGAGTGGCGACATTGTTTCAGGAAGTACTGCAAGGTTTTCGACATCAACAGTGTTTGTCCATTTCCCCTGGGCCCACCAGGCCTGCTGCGAGGGTGCGATGCAAAGGACTTGCCACAAGATGATATGAAAGAGTGCTCACCTCTATGACCTGTTTCGCCATTCTTGGTGTCACATCGACACTTCTCTGATAACACTCCACAGCAGCGGTTGTGTTCCCAGCCTTCTTGTGGGCCTCTGCTTTGAGTCGGTATTCCTGCCTTACCCTAACTCAACCCAGCACACAAGCCATGCTTAACCCCTTGGCACACAAATGCTCACTATGCAGTTCAGAAAGTTTGGATTCTGACAATGGCCAGCGATCGGCTGCATGGATTCAACTCCAGTGCATTATCCAGCATTTCGTTGCCTTCACTTGCACCACTTCGTGGGGTGTAGAATTCGTGACACAACAAATTCTGACACTTGACGAGTACCAGAGCACAAGCCTTCTCACATCCTCGTACAGCATGCATGGCGCACCGCCAGCATTCACGTACTCGTCTCTTTGATGCTGCGCGAGGGATCCACACTCTGATATTTCCACAACGCCAGTCAAAGTCGGGCGCTTGCAGAGCCTACCTCCGCCTGCAGGCCTCTTCGTTGCTCTTCAAGGGCAGTCGTCCACCATCAAAAACTACAACGGGAATGACGCCACATCCTCTCAGAAGTTCCACTCGCGACATGAAGTAATTGACGAATCTGCGGAACGTAGACCAGACAGGCTGCGTTTCGGCTTGTGCTCACCACGACCCTCCATCCCGGCTGGGCAGCGGAATTGAGCGCATAAAACACATGCCAACTGCGGAGTCCTGGCCAAAATCCTGATTTCACCAAGCCAGTTGCACGGCATGCAAGCGTCCCATACGGCCGCCTTGGCCAGTGCCACACCTGTCGGTGTGCTGGCCTTCACAGAGCTCCTTGGCGCAGCAGAAGGCGCCCTTGTGCAGCCAGCAGTAGGCGTCCACCGCCACCCTCTGCCCCGCGTACTGGCTCACGTGCACGCGCCGCGTGATCGACTTCAACAAGGGCAGCAGCCCGTTGATGCCCATTCCGACAGGCTGGCCCGATCAACACTCCCGCCCCGCCCTCGCCGCGTCCCGCAATGCAACCGCTTGGCATCGGCCACCTCCAAGTCCCCAACGCCCGAAAATCAGCGCGCCTTCCTGCGTCCGATGGACGGCGGGGCCCTTTCACGGCCAGGTCGTCATGGCCCCGTCCGAGGGCGTGCGTCCCTGCCAGCAGCCGCAACGGGTGACTCCGTTTTCAAAAAGGGTGCGTCGGTACCCGGCCGCCGTTGGAGTACTGTGTAAGATTGGGCACTGAAGATTGGTCGCTGCCCCTAACGGTGTGTTGAGAGTGTGGGTGCCCCCCCTCTGGCGACGCCCGCTCGTCAGGGGCCTGGGTTCTGTGGAGGGGGCCCCGCTGGTGCTCGGGCGGGAGGAGTATCTGGCAGGGTGGTTGAGGGCGGGGCCGTCTCCATTACCGTAGTCGCCGTACTGGATATCGTACAAGGTGCGGCCCGAAACGTCACCTGGCAGAATTCGCCAGTGACCAGCGATCACGTTCCCGGCTTGTGCGGCTTGGGGCCTGTCCGGCTATGGGGCCCGCTGGAGTTCGCAGTTGGCTCCCACGCCCAAGCCCGCCCAGTTCCTGCAATGTGCATTGGTGTCTGATTGGCTGAAAACGATGTTCGGCGCCACCGCAAGCTGATGCGCGTGTCTTGGTACTGCGGATGCTCCAGTCTGAGCGATCGACACCGATGTTCGCCCAGCCTCAGCAGCGATGCTGCAACCCCATTGGAGCACGCCAAACTGTCACTTCCCAAAGTGAAGAAGCAGTCTGTCTGCAGTAACGCCAACCGTGATGTTTACCCAGTTTCTGTTTTGATGAGGCGCTCTCATTGGCTGGTCCAAGTGTGGGGTGTTGATGTGAGGGGAGTGGGGGTGGTGCGCTCTCGTTGGGCGGGGGGTGGTTGTGTGGGGCTCATGTAGGGTTTATGTGGGGGTGATGCGGATGCTGGGGTGCTGGGGGTACTTACGGGAGGGTGCAAAGGTTCGGGAGCCAGTCAAGCGCTAATGTACGAAACGGCGGCGCTTGGTGCCCCCCGGAGTGGGGCGACACATCACCCTCATGATGTATCACATGCATCACGTGCGATGACTCAACCGATCACTGACATGAGCGCAATTGCGCGGAATTGTTGGGCGCGCCGCGTGCGTCCGTGACCACCCGGCGCTGCCCCTTTCCGTGTGGCCCTTTGGGCAACCGGCGTCACGTTATGCCCTTTGGTGCCGCAAAGCTCGGCAGACAAGACCCCGAGCGCGAGCGGCTTGCCCGCCCCGGGGCCCGCTTGTCCGGTCGCCCTGTCCCCAACGCCCCCGGCGGGCCCCGCCCCGCTCCACACACCCCAACTCGTCGCCCAGCGACGCGCCCCGCAGCCATGTCGTTCGTTTTGAAGGAGTTGAATGACTTCCGGCGAGGCATCACCTTTTTGCCGGGCGACTTTGGCGCCCTGTCTCAGCTGTTCTTCGACAACCTGTCCACGCTGTTGGGCATCCTGGGCTCCATATTCGCCATGACGGGCCCGGGCTTTGGCGCCAGCCCGGACCTCGTGAATGAGGTTGCGTACGGGAAGATCGTGCCCGGCCTGGGGCTCACCATCCTGTTCGGTAACATCTACTACTCGTGGATGTGCACGCGGATGACGCGAGACACGGGGAGGCCGTACACGGCGCAGCCGTACGGGATCAACACGCCTGCGGCGTTCGCCTTCATATTCAACATCATGTACCCTGCGTTCTTCGCCGGGGAGGGCACGCCGGACGAGCGGTTCATCAAGGCCTACAGGATCGCCCTGGCGGCCAACTTCCTGACGGGCCTGGTGTCCATCGTCCTGTCGTTTCCGGCGCCGATGCTGTTGAGGTTCATGCCGCCGGCCGCGCTGCTGGTGCCCATCGCGGGCATCGGCTTCTCGTTCCTGGGAATCCAGCAGATGTCAGAGGGCCTGGCGGCGCCCATCGTGGGCTACATGGCCACCGCGTGGGTGTTCCTGGGGTGGTACGCTGGCGTGCGTATCGGCTGGGGCAAGTTCAAAGTGCCCGAAGCCCTCCAGGTAACTAAGGCCCAAGATGGTGTTGGCGGGGTGTGTGAAGCGCGTTCCCGTCAAGTCCCGAAAGATGGACTGGCTGTACATTGAGCTGAGTAGTTCCGAGCCGCCGAGGTCGACGCAGCATGGGCGTGGAACTTCATGCTTTTCAACGTCATGACTGAATGCTTGTTCAACGCTTTTAAAAAAGCGCAAACTGTCTTCGCGGACGGTACTGAGAAAATCGGTTTTAGCCTGAATGAACGGCACCTTGGCCCCTGTCCTAGTGAGTCAAATAACCAGTTGTGACACGGGCAGTCGTGCCCCACCAGTTGTACGAGGGTACTGGAGGATTGGTGCGCCTGTCTTTGCAACCAGCAGCAGTGCCAATCACTGTTGTCGCCAACTCCCGCGAACCCCTTGTCCCCTTTGTAAATAGCATCGGGAGAGTTGAGGGAGAGGGTTGCCATTGATCTTTCGCACTGAAATGTGCTGACGTGGACAGTTGCTTGCTGTGTCAGGTGATAGTGATTGGCGTCATTTTGGGGTGGGCAACGGACTTGAGCAAGTCCGAGGATGTTGACGATGGGGCAGACCTGGTGAAGTGGTATGGGCCTGACTGGTCTTGGACAGACTTGTTCGCAGATTTCAGTGATATGAAGGACTTCATCGGGACTATTATACCCTTGGCCATTGTTGCGGTCGCCAGTTCCATGATGTGCCTCGTCAGTGCCAAGAACGCTGGCGACCCCTACCCCGTGAGAGAGGCCATGATCGTCGATGGACTGGGAACCATGCTGGTTTCTCTCTTTGGGTCGCCGTTTGGCACCGTGCTCTATATCGGGCATCCTGCTTACAAGAGGTCTGGTGCCAGGAGCGGATACAGCCTCATGAATGGTGTGCTGTACATCGCCTTTTCCTGGTTTGGCATCTTCGCTCTGATCAGGTCCATCGTGAACCAGGCAACCATTGGTCAGATTATCCTGTTTGTGGGCCTGCTCATAAACGAAGAGGCCCTGGTGTTCATGCCCAAGCGCCACTATGCAGCCTTCATAGTGGGCCTCTTCCCATCCGTGTGCGATTGGGTGGTGACCATCGCGGGTCGGGCCCCCCTCAGCGGCTTCACATCCAGCGGTCAGGAATTCAACACCAACCTCCCTGGAGTGGTCTCCCCCTGGTATGGGATACTGGGTTGGCAACGCGGCGCCCTGCTGGTGTCCATGTTGTGGGTGTCTATGCTTGTGCACATCATCGACCGCCGCTGGCTCCAGGCCGCAGTTTGGGCGTTCCTGGCCGCCCTGTTTGCGATGTGCGGGGTAATCCATGCGCCAGAGGCCGGTTTTGAAGACTTTGAAGACGCCACTTGGCCGTCTTGCAGAGATGTGGGCGACTCCGTCGAGTGCTGGGACCACGGGAAGCAGTGGCAGTACTTTGTGGCTTACTTGATGATGTGCGCAACATTTGGCATCCTGGAGGTCGTGGGGAGGGTTTTTGAGGACGTTCTTCCTCCACCCATCCAGGACGAGACAGTGGACATGTTCAAGGACTGGTATCACGTGCCGGAGGATAAACTGGTGGAAAAGGATGACACTAGCAAAGGACTGCGTTCCAAGGGGGAAAAGTTGCAAGACGATCCCAGCACAGACGCCAACAGCTCTGTTTGAGTCGCTGTTGCTTTGGCAGTTTGCTTTGTGGGGAGACGAGGGGAGTGCTGGTGAGGTTGTACAATAAAAGCAGGTGGCAAGCAGAGAGCGGAGAAGAGCAGAAGGGGGTGCTGACATTGTCATACTTGTACCATTTGTAGGAGTGAAGTGCCTTTGATGGAGCGTGCCGTTGTACATATTACTACCTTGTTTGCATTTTTTTTGCTGTGGGGGCGAAGTGATCAACAGCTGAGGCTGGGACGCGATCGAGACTGGGCATTCACCTGTGCGTGTTATCACACAAGAGATTGCAATGGGCAGTTGTATTGTATGTTGTACACTGATTCAAGCGCTGTCTTGAGCCTGTCGCTTGCTGAGGCAACCCTGCGTTTGGGCCGTAATTCAAGGTGTAACGAGGGAACGAAGACAAGGCCAGAAGGGAACAGTCCTTTGCAGTTAACAACAGATAAGACCCACAGCAACCTCGTCGACAATGGACAAGTGTCCTATCGCCCCCAACTCTGACAGCCAGAGATGGCGTGCTTGGGGTTCACGCACCGCTCCATTCGCCCAATTTGTGGGTGAATGAAGTCTGGAAGTCCAAGTAGTGGATTCCCAGTGACCATATGCAGCGCAGAAGCTTGCACATCATTGCACACTAAGCGCTGCATCCTGCAAAACTCCACACGAATCTCGACTTGCGAAGCAGGATGGAACGCGGATGTCCACCTGTGTCCAAGTGGGAGTGCAGCGAAATTGCCACGTGAAGCTACTTGTGCAGGCTTTGGTGGTGGTTTGGTTTTACAAGCCACTGATCTAACGTTCCTCTGAGCAAATGCCAGGCAACTCAGTCAAATATGCTGTGCAGTGAAGGTCTTGGCCAAGGTGACCGTCACCAATGAACAAAACTGCTCGGCACACCATTTTCCCTTGACCTTTGCAACTGCAGTGACTCAATACATTCGCAACGTCCTGAGAAGCGGCCGTCGTACTCCCTTTGACGTCAACTCACGTCCCCCGAGCACCCATCTTCGCCCTGAAAGGTCAAGCAGAAATCCCGTCATCGGCTCGAAGGTGCCAAGGCAGTGCATCGAAACTTGCAAACACCCTTAAACAGAATTGACCATCCCTACAGGCCAACGAGGATGAGTTGTTGTGCAGCTGTGCCCACGCGAAAGAGCCACAGCAAACGCAGCTTCCACAATGACGGACATTAGAAGCAAACGTGATGTCGATAACAGCAAACCCTTGCATGATAAGATCGCCAGCGCAATGTGTTTACCTGAGAATTTCGTTTGCAAGTGACCTGACCCTGGAGTCCCCATTGCGCACCAGGTCGTTCAGCACATCCACAAGGCCCGTGGAGATTGCAGCTCGCCGGTCAATGAGTATACTAGGTTCGGAAAACATGCAGAGGCTGAAGACAAGTGCAGCTCTGTTGCCTCGGTTGTCCCTCAGGTCTTTGCACAGGCCAGCCAGCACCCTTTCATCCTGCATGGCAACAACTGCATCAGCAAGCGAAGTCAAATGAGCAAACAAATGATCGAGCGGCTCTGACAGTACTTATTGTTGCTAAACATCTAGTTTTGTGTTGCATATTAATCCAGTTGCGGTGGAGCCTTCTGCATCATCTTCAGTGGTGCGGAAAGCGCATTGCCAAGCTTTGTCTAAGGGCCCGTGCCCCTTCGGAACCATTACGTTTTTTCATCTTCATTCCTTCCCCACGACTCAGACATTGGGCAAAGCTTCTTCAAATGGGGCCACCTCTTAACGAGATGTCCAGCAAACTCTGAAAACAACAACAACTCGAAGCATATCCAGCAAGGTTTGGCGAATCGATTGTTTTCTTCTCAAGGTGGGAGCGCCCATCGCAGGGCACATTTTCCTTCCTGTTGGCAGACAACATTCGCACAAGGAGTGTCAGTGACTCGCCATGCTTGCGCACGAGTCCTGCACACAAACCTGCGTCGAATCTCACAGACCATAGAAACATGTCGAAGGACAGGATAGCCCTACACACATGCCAAGGCCATTTGCCAGGAAGACACACACACATACCCCACTGCAAACAGACATACAAAGTACAATGTGAGATACATCTGCATCACAGCTTCTCTCTGCGTATTCCCATTGCTGTTGTCGGGGGCCATAATGGTGCGTCTTACCTGCACGATGGGGCGCCTGTCAGTGTCCGCCCTGCAGGCTTTCCCTCTTCCCTTGCACCACCGAATCTGTGCGGATACTATCCTGGCCAAGAGTGTCTGGCGGTCACTGTCAACTCGCAATCTGCGCCTGGACCTCTTCAGGGCTGCTTTGCGAGCCTCATGGTCGTCGTCATTCTCATCTTGGCTGTCAACATCTACCCTGTTGATGCTGGCATTCTTGCTATCATCATCCCTAGCACTGCCATAACCGCAGTCACCCATTTCGCCGCCACCAAAACCTGCTGAAAATGCAACAATAAGCACATGTCAGCATGCCAAGATGGTCTGAGAGCATCATAAGAACCCTCTGGATGCCTACATGTTGTCTTATCTCGGCACAGCAATCTTTCCATTTATGTGCCACAGATAACTGCTAATCAAATCGTAGATCCCTAAAGGGGACAGAAATTCTGCAGAGAATCTTGTCAGCATGCAGCAAGAGGCGTTGTCCTGGCTCCCAGTGTCAGCCCACCACTTCGACCTGAAACCCGCTCCTGAGATACAGGCATTCAGAGCTTCGTTCACATTCCATCCGACTGTGAATGCAGTGGAAATCGCCACATGGGGGGTCCTGTGGCACAATTCCCATATTATTCCAGCATTGGAGAAGGTGCAGAAATGCACCCGGTCTGGTCACACCAGGGATTGGCAATACTGATCACATTGTGTAGCCAAAGAATTGCAAACAGAATTTTAAGAAATTATACCTGGTACAGAACATGGGCTGTCTGAACTGGATGTCTGCCGGCTTTGCTTCACAGGTTGAGATGCGCTGGTAACTCTGGACGACCGTCGTTTCAGAGGGTTCTGCCCCAAGACTACCCAATCCAAGTGTTCCCAGTCCAATCTGCAATACTCATCATCCCATCCAAGCTTTGCAATTATACTCGGATCGTAACCTGCCACTCCACCACAAAGAGCAAGTAAGCAGGGCACTCTCACAATGGCAGTGTTTTGGGGCATGCCATATTCCAATTCAGTAACACAAGATAGCATATCTGCAGACATGGTTGAAAGTGGCCTCTGTTCAGCAATTGCAACAAAACTTCCAGTTTTCTGCGCACCTTGCAAAGCCTCACAGGGAAAGGGGGTGGCATAATGGTACCAGTGGACCAAAGCAATGTTTACTCCAAAGACGGTCATGTGAAGAAAGCCGCAGCTGCGGCAGGCAGCACAGTCTGGTGGGCAACACGGGGGATTCCTCCACACACACCCCAACAGCAGGGGATTGAAGTCTGCATTTCACTGTTGTGAACATATTCAGAAATTCAATGGCTGCCAATGAAGCACAGCATTTTCTGGTGCCGATGCTGCATTCGACCTGATCAGCAACTAGACCAGCAACAAGGCTGGAAACATGGTGAGCTGATTGAAGCTCAGGACTGGCAGCAAAGGGCACTGACAAATCTCTGCCACTGCACCCTCCATTCAACCAAAGAAGAATGCAAGCAGATGGGCTTACCAGCCACCTTGCGCTCTGGCTTCGAAGTCCCCACAAGGGCCACCCTTGTGAGTGGTCCTGCATCAGGATGTTGAAGCACTGCAAGAACCTCTGGATGGTTGGGTGGCAAGCAAGCAAGTTCCTCAAAGGATAGCTTGCTGCTGGCAGATGTTAATGAGGAGATAATCGGTTGCTCCACATCGGTAACATTCCAATTTTGGGAGTCAGTTGTACTGCTTATGATCTCTTGCTCAATGATTGAGGCCGAGCCTTCCCTTGCATCCCTGCTTGTCACCCCTGGCACATCCAGAAGCACAACAAGTAGCTTTCAAGCATCCACAGGAAGCGCAAGTGCAATTCACCCTTGCAATCATGCAAGTTTTCTCGCTTGAGAGGAGAGCAATGTCATGCATTCAGGACAAGCCCTCAACTGGATGCCACAGGCACCCCTTTATTGCACAGTCTATTGAACTGAATTTGTGCATCCTGGGCAGTGCCCAGGAGAACTAGAGACTGGTGTGGACCATGCGCATAAGTGTCAACAAATCACGCAATCCACCAATGAGGCTGTTGTGAGTGAAAATCATGTTAATGCTGGATAGAAAACATGGGCTGAGATGGTCAGTGGCTGTCATCGCCTTATCGGTGCAAGTACTGTGTTGCATGATGACACATGCAATGAAAATGCATCCTACCAACACAGAACGGGCTGTTGTCAATATCGAAAGGAACCCTGCACACCTGGCAAGATAGAGCGCAAGCAGAAGGTCCATATCTCCCAGAATGAACAATACTCTGAAATGTAGGCTCTCTGAAAAGCAGGTTTGGCAGCTACAGCAGTTTGAAACAGCGAAACACAAACACAGAAACCAAATGCATGAGCTGGAGCATTCATTTGTTGACTGCATCGAGCTTGAACATTTCTTCAGTCAGCCCAACAGGGGCACAATAGGCCAACACTGCAACTCACTGCACCTTCTGCCAGTGGTTGCACCTTAAGGGGTAACCATACCTGGCTGTCTGGTAGATTGCCCACTGGATGAAGACCGCAGAACATTGCCCTCCAAGATCTTCCATCCTGGCTCACTGTGCGTGAAACTGGCGGACACGTCCTGACTCGAACCCTCGACGAGGCCAACACCCTGGGTGTGCTTGGCTAGGGGCGAGGGGCCGAGTTCAGACGGCTGGTTATCCAGTGCCTCGCCGCACCACTTGCTCACGGTTTTCGAAACTGGGCAACTGGAGGTGGCGGCAGATGTACCGCCCAGTGGCGACCCCCCCTGGGCCCCTGCCTCTCGTATGTTGTCCTTCCTCGCCGAACCGCAATCACGAGCCAGGGGGTCTAGCTGGGCCGCAGAAGGGAGGGCGTCAGGGGCGCTCTTGGGCTTGGGAGTCGCCAGCGTTGGCGACGCGGGCAGCTGCACGTGCCCGCGCAGGGGCTGCGCACAGCCGCAGCCGGACGTCCACGGGGGCGCACCGTCGAGTGGCCAATTTGTGTTGCAATCCTGATGCTGGGACCTGCTGTCCAGCTGGGCGCTGGGCGCCTTGGGAGGCGACGGCACCGCCTGCGAATGGCTGCCGATTTCCTGCAGGACCGTCGCGCGCTTCGCTTCCGAACGTGTGTCCTGCCACGTCAACTGATCACGAGCAGGGCGTCAGGAAATTAATCCACCGGCCGTCCCTCGACACCGGGGGCGTGCCGTTCGCTTCCGAACGTGGAAGGCGGCGCTGGGTTCTCGAATGCCGCAGCCGCGCCGACACAAAACTCGACGCTGATGGCAGTGGTGCGGGGTACGGAGCACCCGAAGCAGCGCTGTGTCAAATCGCCCGTCAGCAACCCAAAAAGTAACCGGGGCCTCCAAGTCTTCTCGGGGGACTGTGCGCAAAGCGTTCATGCCAATTGCCCCGTCAGCGGTTCGGACACGGTCACACGTACAACACCGCCAACCAGGGCACCATCCCTTCTCGGTCATGGCGATGCCTTCGAATGGCTGCACTCTACCGACACCCGATAGACCTGCTGCTTCACTCCAACAGCAGCTGGCGACATTGGGCATCGAAACCCAGGAACTCGGGACCTTGAAACTGAGAGCTGCCATTTTATTCGCAGCGCACCGCGACTCGCCTGTGCGTGAAGCCAATCACGGCGCTGAGCGCCCCAGCAGTCGTGCAGCCAGTCAGCTACCTTAAGCCCACCCCAAACGGGCAACTGGCGGCGTTTCCGCAAGAGCGCACCTGAAGCTCGCAAGGCGAAGTCATGCAGGAGCGTCCTGCCGCCGCACGCACGTGCACTGTGGGGCGCTGCTGTTATGTCCGGCTTGCGTGCGGGGTGTTTGCTATGGAGCGTGCCTTGGCATCGCCTGCATCCTAATGGCTTCCTTTGAGGTACTCGACCCGACAAGTATTGCCATTCCGACTGGCCTCCCACTCCTGAAGATACAGCAGTGCGCCAAATGCACAGAATGGACGCCAGGGAACAGCACAACACGCTGGGCGGGCTGTGGATGGAAGCCTTGGAGAAGGTACAAGAAAGGCAAGTCGTGTAGCCATTGCTTGCTCTACCAAGCTCTCGGTTTGCGAGAGGGAAACAAGTCCACTTAAACAATAGAAAAACACTCAGTGGCGGACAAATTTGCGGAGAGTGGGGATCGAACCCACGCTCTTTCGAACTGGAACCTGGATCCAGCGCCTTAACCGCTCGGCCATCTCCGCATGCTTCCCCTGTTCACTGGAAGCTGATTACACATAGCGGCCTTCTATATATATACTGCAGTCAAAAAGTTCACACTCCCCATTGGTCACAGGAAATGTAACAGTCGTTCTTCACCTCCTCACACATTTTTTGCACTGCATCGGCCTCCAAACTCTCTCATAGTGTCCATCAAAACGCTGCTGACCCATGATTATCCGCGATCTTGATAGGAGGTTATCAGGTGGGCCTGCGGGGCGATTGTCAGGGCGCTGCCGCACGGAATTAATTGTGTCAATGGTTTAAATCAGGGCAATGTGTTCACAGCCAAAGAAATTGGTGAGCACTTTTGGCAAATGTGATGGCCAACATGCGCTTTGCACCTCCAAATGTTCCTTTGGTCTGGCCGGACCGCATTGGACCGGCGCATGCCAAGGCAGTCCAGTACAAGACGGGCACGGGCTGGTGAGGGTCAGTGCACAAAAATTCCATTATCCAAAGAATGGCCTCGTCCCGGTGGGCGAAGCGCTTCACAGAGAATACGGACGACGATTGGTGGCAACCGGCGGTCCGTGTACTTAATGGCCGGCTAGCGCCGCTGGGCCCGTCCTCTGCTGCTGCCGACGTCCAGGGACGGAAAGAACAGCTCGCGGAGGGCAAGGTTGAGTGCGCTTGTTGCGCAAGTTCCCTGTGGTTCTGCGAAGATGGCGCCCTCAAAGAAGGCCGCCAGCTTCGACAAGCGAAAGCCGAAGCACTCGGACGACCCCAACCGGCCTAACAGAGATGCCAAGCCAGGCATGCGGTCAGCCGCCACAGTCAGGCGCCTGAAAATGTACAAATCAGGCGGCGCTGTCCGCGACAAGAAGGGTCGCGTCATTCGCCAGGACCTCCAGTCCAAGGAACTTCCGAACACGCGGATCGTGCCGGACCGCCGCTGGTTTGGCAACACGCGGGTGGTGGGCCAGAAGCAGCTGGAGCAGTTCAGGGAGGAGATGAGCGCCAAGGCGCACAGCGCGTTCACGGTGCTGCTCCGGGAGAGGAAGCTGCCCATGCAGCTGTTGAAGGAACCGGACGCCAGGAAGTCGGAGGCGGAAAGGAAGAGGACCATCCTGCAGGTGACGGGAGACGAAGCCGCCATTCTTTGCGATCCCATTCTCCAATGCAAGCGAACCACTGCGGCGTTTCTGTGACGCGTGATTTGGTGGCCTGGCTGTTTGGGAGCTGCGTTTGATGCGCTGCACCTTTGTGCATTTCGCTTGCGCAGGGCAAGCACGGCAACTGGTCTGTGTTTGGTGTGCAAATCTACAAGGAAGTAACGGTCGAATAGTCGATTGTATCCCAGTTAGCCCCAATGGGATTGTTGGCCAGGGTTGCCACGACATGAGATGCTCACCGTCATCACAGCCGCAGCGTAACTATGGAGTGCTCTACAGCGAAGCGCCTTGGTGGCTCAGCCCATCATGTTCCCAACAGCTGAATTGGTGGTGGCTTCATGCAGGTGGAGTCCTTCGATGACACTTTCGGGCCGTCGCGAAAGCGGAAGCGACCAAAGCTGTCGTTGGACACCTATGAGGACTTGGTGTCCAGTGTAGGAGACGCAAATCAAAAGTATGAAGAGAAGGTGGAATTGGGCCGGGACACCAACGTCATCAGGGACGACGATGGAGAGAGGAAATCTGGCCGTGACAATATTTTCGAGAAAGGACAGTCAAAGCGTATTTGGTCTGAGCTGTATAAGGTGGTTGACTCCTCAGACGTCATTGTGCAAGTCTTGGACGCAAGAGATCCAGATGGGACGCGTTGCCGGCCTTTGGAGGCCCATGTTAAACGCAACCACCAGTTCAAACACATGATTCTGCTGCTTAACAAATGTGACTTGGTGCCAGCTTGGGTGGCCAAGCGCTGGCTGCACAGCTTCTCTCGCGAGTACCCTACTCTGGCTTTCCACTCCAGCATCACGAACCCATTTGGGAAGGGTGCATTGCTGTCATTGCTACGGCAGCTGGCACGGCTCAGGTCAGACAAGAAGTCCATTGCTGTGGGATTTGTCGGGTACCCCAATGTGGGCAAGTCGTCAGTCATCAATACCCTGAGGACCAAGAAGGTGTGCAAGGTGGCCCCCATCCCAGGTGAAACAAAGGTGTGGCAATACATAACACTAATGAAACGCATCAACCTCATAGACTGCCCAGGTGTGGTGCACAACAAAACCCAAGACTGCCATGAGTCCACAGTGCTGAAGGGCGTTGTGCGAATCGAGCAATTAGAAGATGCTTCGCATTACATTCCTTTCCTTATGGAGCGTGTGAAGCCTGAGTACTTGACGAGGGCGTATGGCATCAGCACATGGCAGGGTTGCGAGGACTTCTTGACTCAGCTGGCAAACAAGTCGGGCAAACTTTTGAAGGGGGGTGATCCTGATTTGAACACTGCCGGTCGAATGATGCTCTTGGACTGGCAGCGAGGGAGGATCCCTTTCTTCACCCTTCCTCCTGACTACATTGAAGGCACAGACCTTGAGAAGAACCAAGCAAGCGAAGAGGGGGGAGATGGGCAAGAGGGTTCGGCGAAACGACGGGACGAAACGCTTGTGCCAAGTAAGCGCTGCGAACAGGAGATTGCGCAGTCCGCCCAAGCTGAATTGATGCGCATTTCTGTGGAGCTGTCCAGTCAACTGCAGCGTGGGATTCCACAGAAAAAGGGACTTTTCCCCATGGAGGATCGAATGGAAGGAGGACAGACCGGAACCTCAGCGGCTGAAGAGACTGGAGTGGGGTGTGAAGTTGACAGCGTTGACAATAGCAGTGAAGCAGCCAGCGACGTCGTTGATGGAGAAGCAGACCTGGAGACCTGGCAAGGGGAAGAACGCAGATGCGCTGATACTGATTCAGACACTGATTCGCAGATTGTTGAGGCAGGGAAGGGGAACAAAGGGCAGAATCCTGAAGAAGATGTCAGTGATTCAGACAGTGATGGGTATGGCGCCGAAGGGCTGTCATGGGAGGCAGTTTTGAAGAGTGTGCAGGAGCACGAATGGGACTTGGATCAGAATGACGAAGAGGATGAGGATTAGGACAGGCACGTTGGCAGATACAGCATGTCACAATAACCCGGCGTTGAATTCCCGTTGAGAGCAGATATGAAGGATTCGCTGTCTGCAGTCTGTGAAGCCCCAGAGTCAGGGTTGGTTGTGTTTGTCACCAGAACCCAATGGGTCTCTGTTGTGATGTGCTTTGTCCAGTGGCCGTGTTTCGTGGGGATTGTGAACAGGCTCTTTTTGACCCATTTTGGTCTGGCAAGACGGAAATTGCATAATCTTTCTCTCAAGGAAATTTATTGGGCAAACATTGTTATGTGTTGCTCATTTTCGTAGGAGGGAATCAGGCAGATTGGGGAACAAAGACACAGCCATGGTAGAGTCAGTATCTTGACAGAATCGCGATAGACTCTCATGCAGTTGCGTGACTGCAAACCTGATACTCCCATTTGGGTAGTAGTCACTGGGCTCCTGGAAATGCATGTGCACGACCATCCAATGCTTGTCCTGTCTGCAAGCAAATTCGCAGGCTGCGCCACCAATCACGACCTTTATACACAACGTGAGCAATTCTACCATGAATATTTCGTGCACGTTTTCAACAATCCTGCGCCTGGCAACTACACCTAATATTCAACGAACGCTGACCATATGAAGCTGTCAAGTCTTCCACGAATTGCGTCCACAGCAGCATCAACAACAGCGCTGCTATCAATAGGTTCACAACCGCAACTGAACATCAGACGGCGCCAGTCGCATGTCCTAGTGACTTCTGCATCATCCGTCAGTGAGACCTGCATCCTTAAGAATTCTTAGGAAAGCCTCCTCGTCTTCGTATTCGACTGCAGGTATCTCACGTTGGAAGTACTCCGAGATTCGATCCAATATTTGGCCGTCCTGCAAGGGCCACATCAAGTGTCACAAGCGTGGTAACTGCGCAACACGCTCACACAACAGCAGCCCACATGCAAAGCCACCAGACACTATGCGGCAATCGAAGCGTTGCACTAGACGCTGAAGTACGCCATTTTGGCTCTTTCCATCTCCTTCCGAATACCCACACGCTGGGGGCGTAGTCCGGCAACTGTCGCCACAGAGTGCGATGTGGTGCCACCGGTGTCCCGATTGGAACACTCCAATCGGGACCAAAAACAGACCCAAACAGGCCCAAACACGCACAGTGAATGGCACAGCTCTGCTTACGTTCCAATTGCTGACACACAGGTTGAAGGCGACGCCCTTTCGCCCGAATCTCCCACTCCGCCCAATACGATGAAGATAAGTCTCAAATGCAGGCTCGCGGTTGCGATCTGTTGGGATGTCGTAATTCACAACCAGGGTCACCTGTTGACGACGGTGACAACACCGCAGTTAGACAACACATCACGACAGTCCCTGAGAGATGCACACAAACTCCATTGCAATGCATAGATCAATGCTGCTGCTGCGTAGGGCGTACAGCTGATCGCTTGCTCAACCTCCCAGGATGCGCTGTACATATTGAGATGGTCACAACGGGAATGGGCATTACATGCATGAGTGCAATGCCCCCTGATGAATGGGCAAAAGAAGTTGTTGGAGCAGAGAGACATTGAATGCAGGCATTATAGTAATCCTGTGCTCCATGGGATCGAAGATGCACCAAAATAGGCACCTACTGACCGATATTCGAACATACGTGAGGATATTCAATCAAGTCGGCTCCGACACCTTACAGTATGCAGTCCATACCCAAGTTCGAACGGCAACATTTACAGCCATAGCACACACCATGCCAGAGTGGCAGGGGCAACAGATGCTAACAGACCTCTGGATGAACACTGGGGCGCTGTGAGGTGTCAATGTGAGACACACGAATCATATTGACCTATGTTCTGGCTTCCCTTAGCAATTTGAGTCCCTGCATAGTTTCCATGAAATGTATGAGGATCATGGTCGCACCCCTCCTGCACGGCAGTCCATGAGAATGGCGGCAAAAGTCTCCAACCACACAGACAAGTTTATTGGGACAAGGGGGATACAGCAAGAAGGGGAACTGCACAGCGCGCTGTGAAAACGTCACAGGCGTAACAACGATGGCAAGTGATGACCACTGCAGCCCAAGAGTGCTGGTGCTCACCTCATCAACGTTAAAGCCTCGAGACAACACGTCTGTGGATATCAAGATAGTCGTAACACCAGTTCTGAATTCGTTGACAACCTGATCTCTCTTGTCAAAAGGCATCTCGCCACTGATCGCAGTGCATTTGAATCCATCTTCAGTCAGCCTGGCATGGAGCACCCTTGCCATTTCCCTGGTCCTCACGAAAATAATGGTCTGTCCCAGCTTTTCACAATTTGGAAGTATTTGCTGCAGCAGCACCCAAACCTTGTCATCCTTGTAAGGCACATTGACTCGGTACTGCTTGATGACGTCCAGTGACAGCTCCTCCTTTGGAAGAAACACCTGAGGCAGGCAGAGGGAGGGCCTCACAAAATCACAAAGCACACCGGTTGAACCTTGCAGAAATTACATCCTGTGATGCAGCATTCTCACAAACATTTGTCACTGAAGAACTCCACAAGGTGAAGGAAACCTCTCGCCAGAATCCACATCAACACATTTGTGACTGAGAAGGCAGTGCATGACACAGCAGTCCCTCAGCTCATTCCAGCAGACAATTCACCAGAAGGACGCTGCACACACCGTAGTAGAAGCCTCACCTCGTTTGCCTCCCTTGATATCCTGCAGGCAAACTTTCTGACCACCTCACTGTATGTTGCAGAAAACATGAGAAGCTGAATCCCTGGGCTCTGGCTACGAATTTCACGGATCATACGGAAAGAATCATCAGCAAAGCCTTGCGCCTCCAACATGTTGTCAGCCTCATCCAGCACAACGACCTATAGCAAGACAATGACAAGGTTGACAGGTTGCAAGCTGTCGCACATGGTATACATCTTCTGCCACATCGGCAGCAACAGGTGTGTCCACAAGTGGAACAAAGAGTCAAACCAGAACTGAGCTGGTACATGAGACTGCCAGAGAAAGGACAACATAGATGGCGACATGACTAGCACAAGGGTGAGATGGGCAATCATCCTGGCATGACAACCGGACAGCAGCAAGAGCTCTCTCCGCGTGTTTGAATTATGATTGAAACGACACCTATTTTCTAGACACACCATTCCAAAGAATCTATCTTGGGCCTCAAATTGACTGCTTGAACTGGATTCACCGCGAAACAGTCAAGGCAATATCCCACCCCATGAAGAACAATGCAATTCCACATCTGTCAACAGTTGCGTGCTGCACAGAAGACACCTGCAACAACTCTATCCTGTCAAATCCACTTGTCACGAATGTGTCTGGCAGTGTGTCGCAAATAATCCTCCAGAATGCTGTGCGGACCTTCATCTTTCCCAATCCAAGCATTCGTCGGCTGATCCAGAATTTCAACCTCCCGTGGGTGCCGAAAATTATCTGTGCCTTGATCTTCTGGCTTGTTGGCAATTCCTCTGAGGTGGATGTGCTCATGGACTCCAATTTGGTGTATTTGCCCATCTTTTGCAACACAGCGTGGTTCTGGGCTACCAGCTCTCGTGTTGGACACACGCACAGTGCCTGCGGCTCGTGCAGCTCTGGGTCCACCCTCGTGAGCATCGCCAACACAAAGCATGTCGTCTTGCCACTCCCATTGTGGGCCTGGGCTATCAGGTCCCGGTGGGGGGGATTGAGAATCATTGGCAGAGTCGTGGCTTGAACCTTTGAAGGGCGCTGAAACTTCATTTCAACATAAAGCCCCTCCAGCAGCTCAGTAGGCAGGCCCAAGTCCTCGAACGTGCTTGCTGAAGTGTACATGGTCTCCCCAACGATGTTCGTCTCGACTTCCTTTTCCGATTCTTGGAGCCCGGCTGACTTCATAGAAGGGTCCGGCTCGTCCGTTTGCTCTTCTTTGCCAACCTGACAAACACAAAATGCTCGGAAGATTGCAGATATTCGGGCATTCGCGGCTCACTGCTGCCAATCTTTCTTGCCACAAGAATGGAAAGATAGCTCCTCGGCAAAATCTCCGACTGTCCGTGCATACAGACACTCTTGATGGCAGGAAACTCGTCGAGATGAGGACTTCGTCAGCCGTTCCGCTGCGGCATCCGGAAGTCCACACATGACAGCAATGGAGAGGGCTGGCGGCCGCTGCATCACAGCGAGCGTTTCAAAACTGGCCTTCGACACACAAATCCGGACACATTCCACAGTGCAGTGCTCTGACATCCGCAGGCCAAAACATGAATCTATCCTTGAGCGTGGGAAAAGCAGTGCCCAGTGACAGTCCATGAAATGAATGGACATTCGAGGCCCACCGCACTTCCTGCCAGTTATATCCGCAGCCACATCGCTTTCGTTCGCTTGCCTTGACATCTGACACGCGATCCGCCAGGGCGGCCACCGTCGCAGAGATGGACGCCGCACCAGCAGGCTGCCTCGCGCCATCAGTGGCATTCGGTCCGTCCGCCGGAGCTGCGGCTGCGGCCCCGGACGTTCCTGGAGCAGTCCCCGCAGCCGCTTCAACCGACGTGCCGCCTTGCGCGGACATGGGGGCACACCGCCCGGTTCAGGGGCTTCGCACTTCGGCACAGCGCCCAAAGGAAGCACCGCTTGCCGCGCAGCACCCAAGGCGGCATCTAATCAGTTCTTGTTGAAGTTGCGCAGCACAATGAAGGTGGTTAGTAATCGCTGATTGCCAGCTCACCCGTCTGGGTCGCAACGGCATAAAATTACTCCCCGTTCTTGTTTGCTGAATTTCGGTTCTTGTTTTCGGACATCCTAAGCCCCAACTACTGATCCACGCACCGGGACTGGCCTTGTCAGCGGAACAAGAACCGAAATTCAGCAAACAAGAACGGGAAGTAATATATTCTCGATCGCAACAGCCCTGGATGCGAGATGTACGCTGCCAGGGATGGCCATCAAGGCAATTGTGCTGAAGGAAATCCCAATGCATTATGACAGCAGCAGAGATATCGTTGGCATGATGCATGGATTCATTTCTACATCACTAAAGATGCTGCATTCATTCCCGACAGCATTAACTGAGGAAAACAAACTGAACAAAAATATAACAAGATTGGAAACGGCACCCCAAAATTTGAGCTATTTCCAGAGAGGTACTTCATGGCAATGCTCCCTAAAGGTTTGAGAGGGATTAAGACAGCATCAGCACTGGCGGTCGATTAATCTGCGACATCACGGCCTGGCCACGCCCAACAGCATCACTGCAAGAGAAAACGAACCTAAACACTTGCGTGGAGTGAATTCGCGCACGTTCAACGGCATCTGCTTACCGGACACCACGGACACCATCTTGGCGATCGCTTCTGCGTCTCGGGGGCTCCACCTTTTGACCGCCGCGACCGCAGCAGCGCCGGTATGCGCCGTCAGCCTCACAGCCCCACCCTCTCCACATCGCCCTCCGTATTGATCAACTTTCGCCCCACCGGAGGGGGCTGTGCAGATAATTGCCTGGGTCGCCCCACGTGGCTGCTGGTGGCGATCGGTGTCCGCGTGCTCTCCATCCTATCGAGCCGAATGCGGCCCCCAGAGCCAGCGCACTTCAGGATCGGGCCTGATCTGGGGCTTTGTGTTGTAGGCAGACCCATCTGGGCTGCGTCTCGTGCTGAAGAGCGATTGGCGCCACCGCAATGATCATATGCGGATGTGCGGGTCCCCTGGGTCCATCTACTGGAATCCCCCCCCAGCCCCCCTGCAACTGCATTCCAAGCCGGATACTACGCAGCATAGATGGATTCTTTCTTTACGCATGGTCGAGGGTGGTAAACTAACAGGCTTGGGTTTTACGTTTACGTTACATTTACGTTTTGAGTTAACATTTTACGCGTGAAAACGTAAATTTGCTAAAGGGGCTATTTTTACGGCAGTATTTACGTTTTACGGCTTGTTGTGACACCACGGTTAGATGGTGAAAATCGCGTGCAATGATCAGTCCTCCCGCCGCTCAAACACCCACAATACAGTGTCCACCTCGCCCTCAGCAAGGGCAACGATGGCGTGGAACAAAAAGTCGCTTTCTGCCCGTTCCAGGGCGGCTGGTTGCCACTACGCGGACCCCCTAAGTCTATATGTACTGTCCTTATGTACGCGGGGCGAGAGCGGTCCAGAACCTGGCGCCGCGGCGGCCCCGGCGGCCCTGCGGCGGTTCGGC